GGGCATCGATCGCCGTGTCCCGCCGTGCCGCTACTGAAGCGTGCGTCATGCTCTCACTCCGTCGCTCCGCGCTGCCGCTTCCCTCAGCATCGCGTCGGGTCGAACCGATTAAGAGAGCATTCTCGCGTCACCTACATGAGAGACGGCGAATTCCTAGAGAACTAGAAATGTGCTCGGAAGGTACGCGGGTCAATATCAACGTATGGCTAATTTTAGTATGTTTACATATATATATATATATATATATATATGTAAACATACTAAAATTAGCCATACGTTGATATTGACCCGCGTACCTTCCGAGCACATTTCTAGTTCTCTAGGAATTCGCCGTCTCTCATGTAGGTGACGCGAGAATGCTCTCTTAATCGGTTCGACCCGACGCGATGCTGAGGGAAGCGGCAGCGCGGAGCGACGGAGTGAGAGCATGACGCACGCTTCAGTAGCGGCACGGCGGGACACGGCGATCGATGCCCCGCGAGACTCGAAATCGGACGGCGGTCGCCGGTTCGTACTCGCGGTGCTCCGCAGGCCCGATACCGCGCATCCACGTGACTTGAGAATCTACTCGAGCGTTCCCGCGTTCCTCCTCAATTCAACCCCCCCCCGCGGCACGGCACCGTCACGTCGTCGCCGTCGACGGCGACGACAGTGACAACGCGCGCGGGTACGGGACGTAAACATCACGTCGCACGCGCCGTGCACTGTCCGCTAGTGTGTGTTAGTGGGTTAGTGACGGCTCTTCGATGAGCTTTGCGACACGACACCCTGTCGCCGGTTTTCCCGTTGACGTTTCGTGTGATTGTTTTACGTGACTTGATTGACGTGAAGGGTGTTTGTATTTCCTTCCTTCCGTACGAGAGAAGATGTTCTCTCGTACGCTCGCGCCGAGCCGAGCGAGGGTTAAAGGGTTAAAGGGTTAAGGGCAAGTGAGCCATCTCCTTTCTCATATCACGTATCCGCCGTTTGATCGAAACCTCGCATACTGCGAGTGTGAGAGAGAGAGAGAGAGAGAGGGGGGGGGGATGATGTTTGTTACCAATAAGAAACAATATAACAGTGATTATTTCATCTTTGTTTAATTTAACATTGGCAAAGAGTAAAGATGTAATGATCTACTATAGAGACTCATATCAGAAGTTGTCACGAGTGATTTTCTCAAAATCCTACGAACAGAAAAGCAAGAAGAAAAATGCATATAATTTTTATTCTATATTATAAGAATGCCACCAAATTCGCGACTCAGAATACTATAGCAAGAAAGTTTTTGAAAAATGAAGTAAAAGAAGTTACTTGTGAATTTTTGTTTTAAGCAATAGATTCTGAGATACAAGAGATTTAAATATGATCAATTACAAATTGCGTTTAGATAATCATCTATTAGTATTAATGAATGTGCTAAACTGCGCTCATTAATACTATCACATGCATAACTTACGGATGTATGGCTATTTAAACATAGTCCGTAGATGACCTTACTAAAAAAATTGCTACTTGAAATAAAAATTTACAAATAACTTTTTTATTTAATTTTTTTAGGACTATCTTGTTACGATACTTTTAATAACGAATTGTGGGACACCATATTACTATCTCGCTCTAACTTATACTTATTCTAGTCTGTAATCTTAATTAAAGTTATAGAGCGAAACAGTATAAGTTAAAGTGAGATAGTATATTTAAGGAGAAATTGCATGTATCTTTTTCTCTCGTAGAATTTTGACAAAATTTCTTGTGGCCACAGAATTCTGATCACCAAGGTCTGTTTTTTTTTAGCTGAACTATTTGCAGTTCGTTTCTTTTCTATTTTTCACTCTAATGTGAAAATAAAAAGAGGTAAGAAAAGGAGACTGAACCATGCAAGAAGTTTATCTGAAAAGAAAAGGTCTTTTGTTATGAAGTCTTTAATTTATTGTGTGTTACTATCATCTATGTCTCTTATTGGAAAATATTGAGGCAGAGAGAGAGAGAGAGAGAGAGAGAGAGAGAGAATCGAGATAAACAAAGGGTCTGTTTTTCATTTCTGCACTAGAACTTTCTTTCTCGCTTTAGTCAAATGTCAAATATATTTCTATTTCACTTTAAATTCCAAAAATGTAATTCATTATAGAAAAAACAGACCTAAAGAAGAGAAAAACCGGATAATATTTGCGCCATCTTTCGTAAGTGCTCCTCGCCTCCTTACTTCGGCCAGCGGTTTATCGCCTTCTTGTTATCGTCACCTTAAACGGAGTCGCAGCGTAAAGTCCATTCGCGGACTGCCAATGATGACGCGAATGGAGATGCCGCGGATTTCACTCGGTATCTCCATCGGCATCTTGGGCGTTCCTCTTGTTTTTTTCTTTCCTATTGTTTTTACCGTGTTATTGCGTAATCGTATTGCCAAATGCGTCTGCGAATTTTTATCACTTGGAGAGTTTATCGAATCACCTCTCTTCGCGCAACTACGTTGTTCCCGAACGCCATTGGGTCCGTTCTCCCTCATTCATTTCCGCGCCTCGCTCGCACTCGGCGTTTGTTATATCGAACGCTAAAGGGACAACAAAGGGAGAGGATGAAGCATTACGAGTAGGAGCGCAGATAGAACGGCGTTCTCTAAAGCTCGTGTCACGCTACGCGTTGGAAATTGAGATTTGCGAATTAGAGATTAGAATTCGGGCAATCAAACGATTTTTATTTTAATTCATTTTTTGTTTCTGATTCTAATCTTCAATTAGGCATTCAACCCTTGGTTATTACTATGCATTGGAAATTGAGGATTGCGAATTGGAGATTGGAATTCAGCCAATTCAGAACGAACAAATGAAAATTAAAATTAAAATAAATTAAAATCAAAATTATTTGACTGGTCGAATTTCAATTTCCAATTCGTGATTTTTAATCTCGAATTCGAAATTGGACGTGTAGTAAGTGATGTAATCACTTAGGATTTAAGGTGTTGTCCAAGATATTGCCTAAGATTGGCCGTGTTGAACAGAAAAAGCAGCTTTGCAACTGTCGTAAGACTTTTTAATATGATATTGGTTTATACATTTAGATCCAGTGTGTGTGTGTGTGTGTGTGTGTGTGTGTGTGTGTGTGTGTGTGTGTGTGTGTGTGTG